ATGATGATGATGATGATGATGATGATGAGGAGGAGGAGGAGGAGGAGGAGGAGGAAGACGAGGAGGAGGAGGAGGAAGAGGATATATGTTCGCGTAAATGGGTTTGTGTGTGAGTGTATGTGTGTATGTGTTTATGTGTGTATTTTGTGTGTGTGTGTGTGTTTGTGTGTTGTATGTGTGTGTATTTGTGTGGGTGGGTGTATTTGTGTGTGTGTACGTGTGTGTGTGTGTGTGTGTGTGTGTGTGTGTGTGTATGTGTGTGTGTGCATGCATATGTGCGCACAGTGTGAAGGGGCATGTGTCCTTGTGCCCGTGTAAGTGTGTGCGCGCGCACGTGAACAAATATGTTGCGCCTGTTGTTTTCAAATCCCTTTAGCTGCGAGCATTTCGCCCCTGGCAACGCAATGCCTCCCTCAAGTAACTACTACATGTCCAAGTCATCTGGTCAACGCCACAGTGAACAAATATAGAATAATATATAAGAAAAGGCAAAGGGGGGGGGGGGGTGCACGTTATTTGTTCTGTTTGCTTGTTGTTGTTTTTTCTCCATTTTTTCAACGTCTCCTTTAAGAACGCCCGTGGGATCAATGAAAATTACACTTCTTGTACTGATGATAAAGCATGACGCTTCCTGGGTACCATACTTGCTTTGAAAATGGGGGAAAATCGTTAGAAACGATAATTAAAAGGGGCGTTCAGAAATCACCCACCCACCCCCACTCCCAGCCCCGAAAACTTTGTTACACTTAGCTTTACGCTGTGTCTTATAGCCCAGGGGGGTCACCTAACTACGGCCCGCGGGCCATATCTGGCCCACAAGATCAGTTCATATCTGGCCGGCTGCCGTGCCACAATGCGGGGAAAAACGTTGGAAGATGTGTTTGTGGCACGCTAATAAGGACTTGCTCCCCGAAATAATTATTTTTTCTTGTTTTGCAGCCTAGTGGTGACATCAGGCACTCGTTGAATTAATGAGATCTAAAGAAATTAATAAAAATAAATGATTTTTCACACCATTTGGGCAAGTGTGCGCCGATAATAATGTAACTATCTTATTGCATGCAACATACTCAATTTGGTGACTTTTAAAAAATAAAATACCATATACAGTTGTTGTTTTTATATTTGTTTTGTGTGTATGTGTGTGTGTGTGTGTGTTTGTGTGTTTGTGTGTGTGTGTGT